TAGGTTCCAGCCATCCAATGAGTGAAAGCCTTAGGTTCCAGCCAGCCAATGAGTAAAAGCTTTAGGTTCCAGCCATCCAATGAGTGAAAGCCTTAAGTTCCAGCCAGCCAATGAGTAAAAGCCTTAGGTTCCAAGTTGGAGACCCAATCTCAGACAAAAGGGGGGGGAATAAAGCAGGGGAGAGAGGGGTGTCATGGATTCTTGGGGCCACGCTTATGCGAGGCATGGAGGAGGAAGAGGCCGAGGCTCTGGGCCCAGCCATTGAAGGCGTGGACACAGAATGCGCTGGCTTCATCCTGGTCCGGGTACCGGGAATGGGGTGCCAGGGAGGCGGCGGCTTCACCAGGGACGCCTATGTCTGGCTAGGACATTCTGTGGGTTACGTGGCAGGCTGCCCACGGTCGGTGACGAAACACGGCCCGGCGGTGCCCCCTTACCTTGTAGTTTTTACAGGAAGGGTTGAAGGCATTGGTTCCGCAGACAAACAGTGTGTCCTCGCTCTTCTTGAGAAGAACTTTGATGAAGTTGTGGCACTCATCCTAGGAGAGAAACCCAGCTGTTCGGCATCACGGCCGCTCAATCCCGGAGCCCTGTTTGCCCCCACCGACGCGACTGGCCCATTCACAGGCCGTGCAGGCCAAGATGGCCCGGGGAGCTGGTGGGTTTCTCTCCTCTGGGCGACGTCTGAGTCGCTCTGGATGTGAACCAAAGGGCGTGGACCGCCGCCGTAGCCACAGTAGATGAAGAGGAGGGAGAGAGCAGGAGAGAATGCGTTCATTCTAGGCCGCACAAGGAAGGCAGGGAGAAGCGCCATCTCCTATCCTGTGAATTTTAATGCCAGGGTCTCTCCATGTACCAGGCTTCCAGTGCAAGTGTTTTTATGGTATTAAGCCCCCCCCCTCCCCAATCTCTTCTCCCTGTGGACTCTGGCCTTCCTTCCACGTAAACTATGGGACAGGCAGCCGGCTTCTCCCCCGAGGAGTTCACGACGCGGCCCCAGCAGCTGTTGCAATATTTCATCACATTAAATGTGAGCTATTTTTGCAAATTAAAGCCTTCAATAAGGTGATGGGAAAAGCAAGGATGGAGAAGAAAGGAGCTCGGGAAGGATCGGCAGGCAGGATGTGTTCCGCACGGCGGCTGCAGCCAGGGCGGGGGAAACAAACATCCAAAACTTAACAGCTACAGGAGCTACAGGAGGCCGAAGTGTCTACCTTGTGTTTCCCCTTCATTCTGCAGGTGTCCACATCAGCCTGTCTAGATTTCCACGTCAGTTTCTGCCAGGGGGGGAATGGAGACAGAAATCAATTAGAGCCTAGAGGTGGTTGCATTTGATTTGAGAAGTAAGAGCTCCCTGGGGGGGAAGGGGGGGGGAGACACAAGGCTGAACCTGGATTTATTGAAAGCTTTCCACCCCCTTTTCCTATGATTAATTCACCATCACAACAAAAGATCAGGAGCGGGCATTTCATTGTGAACTGGTTATCTATTTATTAAACTGCAGAACAGTTTAGGCCTGGAGATCAAAGACGAAGCTGCGGACAAATTTCACATAACTTGATCAAATTAACTGGCTCGATCATGTTCCCTTTGAGAAAAATGCATATCTGCTTGTCAGAAAGGAGGTTTTTATTTAAAATATAGAAGCCATTTTTCTTGAATGCGCTCAAACTGGACAGAGATCTGATGTGGCTTATTTTCCTTTTCCGTAAACTAATAAACAGGTTCTACTGACATATGCCCTGAGGGGCTGTGAGCGTAGAGGGTAGGGGGACATTTTGTGTCTGTCTGAAGTGGCTAATGGTCAACTGCCTGGACCATGGGAATGTTAAGGCTGCAGCAGTTTTGTGGACAGCATTCGTGGGACGATTTGACTTCTGCAGGTAGATGTTTTCCTGGAGAAGCAGGGCCATGGTTCCTTGGAAGGACTTCAGGCCTGGCCCAGAGCTGCCCAATGTCCGTCTGTCCAGCTGTGAGTGAAATCGGAAGGACCTGACCCTGAGCTCGTATCTGGCCCTTGCCTCCTTCTGCTCTGGGCCTGGACTAAAGGAGTGCAGGCATTTCCCGTCCACCCGACTCTGCATTAAACTCATTCATCCTCTTTATCAAGGGACAAACTCCAAAGCCCTTTATTCAGGAAAGATAGGGTTTTTGTTTCTTTTTAATGTCTTTTTAAAAGAACAACTTACTTTGCTACAGTAAATTTCTTCTGTGTGGGGTGTATCTATGTCAACAGTATAAATATGGTCCCTAGAAGCAAAGAAAAATAAACATGAGGTCAAACGTAACAGTTCATTGTTTTGTTTTTTATTCCCCCCCCCCCTGCAGAATGAGTTATGACTTGGGGCAGATAAAACCAGATTCCCTTCCTTCCTTCCTTCTTTCCTTCCTTCCTTCCTTCCTAGAAAAAAATCAATAATAAGTCATGCACATGTTAGAAAAGAGGAAAGAGTAACTCGGCACAGGAGTGATGTTTCTGGGTCACGTTCACACCTCCTGCGTGTGGTGAGCTCTAGATCTATGGGGTCGTCACCTTTCATAAACACTTCACGTGGCTGCCATCCCCCCCCCTCGGACATCCTATCTGGTAGTGAGCGCTTGGGGGGGAGGAGCACCGCGAAGGTCACACTGGTCTAGCGATGGACGCAGACGGGGTGAGCACTTGGCTGGATTCGGCCTGCCACCCAGGGACATGGGGACCAGTTCCCCTCCACCTCCAGCTCTGTCCACACCACGTGTTCACCCCGAGCCCTGTTGACTCGCTGGACAAAGGTACAAGTCCAGGAAGGTAAACACGGCTTCCAGAAGCTTCTCTTTCCTTTGGTCAGTCTGAAATGTGCTGGGGCTCGAGTTGACGTGAGCTGTGTGGCGGGGGATCTGGTTGTCTGTCCCGGCTTGTGGCGGATCTCCCGTGGCGGGGGGAGGGGGGGACACAGACCGGTGGCCCAGGTGTGGTCCCCTTCCCCCGCCGCAGAGAACAAGGGCTTTTTTGTCTGGAATTCAGAAGAAAGGAGCCACACTGTATGGAAGAGAGGGGCTGGGCCAGTGAGAGCCAAACAGCTCATTTTCCCTTGAAATAACATTGACTTTTGCTAAAATGCAGGAAGTCCTGGGGTTGGAAAATGATCCACGGCTTTAAACCAGAACCTGGTGGCTCTCACATAGACTTTGAGCCCAAGCAGGGGTGGGGGCGGGGGCAGGGGGAGGAGGAGAAGAAGAAGAAAAGAAAGGAAGGGGTTATTTGCAGGAATTATAGAGAAGATATATATAGAGAGAATATGTAAATATTATATATGTGTATATTTCAGTTCTTGGGAAATCAGTTTGTTTTTTTTTTAAAGCAAGCTTCTCCCATGAAAAATGTCTGCCACTGAATTCTGTAGATGTGTGTGTGTGTGTCTGAGAGAGAGACAGACAGACAGACGGAGGGAGGGAGAGACAGAGGGTGGCGCAGGAGGAAAGCAGGGGCTGTTTTGTCGGCTGCTGAGCTGGGACACCTCTTCAGGCTTCAGAAGGCGCCAGAACCATTCTGCCCTTTAATTCCAAGGCCGTTTATTGCGTCCGTTTATTGCTTGTTCGGCTTGATGGGGGTGCGGCGGTCGGGCACGTTACTGGACTGGAATTGCTTTGTGACTTTGGTTTCGGCCCTCCCTCCCCCTCCCCCACCCCCTCTGAAAAACAGGAGCTGAACGGATGAATTGTAAATGAAGAACTGATGGATCCGAGCTGGCAAGCCCGGGTGGGGTGGGGTGGGGAGGGCTCAGGGGGACCCCCGCTTTTGGCATGATCTGTGTATGTTAATTAGGAGGTGGGAGAGTCAACAGAACAGAACGGACAACGTGGATAAAAATGTTTTAAAGAACTGGAAAGAGGGGTCTTTGCCCCCGGCACCGTACTCGGTGGCAGCTCAGGGCTTCCAGATGGTTCTTGGCATTCGCTGGGCCGACCCTAGCGCGGTGTGTAAGAACCGGAAGCTTCTGAGGGGCAATTCCCTGAATGAAATCTCCTTGAGACTGTGCCCATCTTTTCAAGATCTAGAAGCTTCCACCTCACCCCCAAGTAGAAACAGCGCTTAGGGGGGGTGCCAGGGTCATTTCACCCCTGGATTCACACCACGCTCGCCTTGAACTCACTTCCTTGGGACTTACCCCCAAGAACTCCCCCATCCTACCCCTCCACCCAGCAACGCTGAATCCCGCAGGCCTGCCTGGGGTCTCAGGGACAATGGAACTTCCACGATCGTGTTCACTTGCGGCCTAGGCCCTGGACTTCGTAAAGCAGCATAACATTATTGAAACATCATTTTATTATTACTTGTTTTTTGCTGATGTGGTGCTGAGGAATCGAACCCAGGGCCTCATGCGTGCTAGGCAAGCGCTCTACCACTGAGCCACGCACCCAACCCCCAAGGTTAACATTATTAAAGGTGAAATGAGAACCGAAGACCCTGGATATGGGCAAGCCACAAAGTCCTGCAGGATTTGTTTCTGAGGGAAAACCAGCCTGTCTGTGCTAGGCCCCGAAAGAATGGCAAGAGTTTTCAAACAAGAAATGTCTTCCCTCCTTCCCTCCCTCCTTCCCTTCTCCTTCTTCTGCTCAGAGCCAGAGGCTGACTTGGCCCAGTCAGGGGCAGAATTAGCACCAAGGTCCAGAGCCCTGGTTCTCCAGTATCAGTGGCGCTCCTACCCTGCCGCTGAGCCTCTGTTTGCAGAAGTTCCTCTAGATGCCATTATGCCCCCTAGATAAGCATTCCCTTCCTATGGCCAGATAAAACCCCTCCGAAACACAAAAGGGTTCTGCCGTTCTTTTCAAAGTCACGGCACACGAATTATTGAGCAAATTACTGCTCAAGAAAAATCCACGCCGAAGTTAAACAGACCTGGCCACCAATCGTGGAAGGAAGGAAGGAAGGACGGACTGACAACCTCCAGGAAGCCTTGAGCTACCATCACACCATGAGGGCTAGTGTGTGGTTCTTAGAGAAGGTGGCTGGTGGGTAAACTGAGGGCGCGTTGCGGGGGGGGTGGGGGAGGGGAGGGGTCATCTCACCTGGCAGCGATATAGAGGGTTCTGTTCATAATTACAATCATCTGGATGTCCAGCCTGTGCCTCTGTGTGGCGTTCCGTCCTGGCTTATGACCCACAAACACCGGATACTGTTTTGTATCTGGGCAGGAAAATAAATCCATATCAATCAAGATGAGATGGGAAGGAGAGGGAGAAGCAGAGTGGGTGGACAAGGCTCCAGGCGGGGAGGGGAGGGGGGCGGGCGGGCCGGGAAACCATGTTCCATTCAAACTGGGTCCCCATTTCCCAGCCCCAAATCAGGCCGCTGTGATTTTTTTAAAAAAAAGCCATACCGGGGACACCAAAGTGCTCTTTAAAAGACGCTCCCGTTACACTTCATTTCCTAGGCCATAATAAGCCAGGGCTTTGCTTTCGGAGTGTCACGATTTCTTGGGGGGGCCGGAGAGGGGGCGTGTGGTGTAGGCCGGCGAGTGAAACACTTTTGCATGAAGCCCTTCCTTTCTTCCACGGGTTTTTCTTTTCATCTCCTGTGAAGTGCTGGGCCCGCACGGGGCAGGCAGCCAAAGATCTTGTCTCGGGAACCAAAGTATTTTCAAAGTCTCCCTTCCATCAATCAGCACAAAGGCCATGCGGTCTGGAGGCGAGAGGCTCCGTCCAGGAGCCAGAAGAAAAATACCGTCTCCACAGGCGTCCGGGAGGAATAATCCACCATTGAAGGCCTCTGAGCTCTCTTGGCATAGGGGGAACTGGGGAAGGTTCACTGGGGATTCAGTTGATCTCACAGAAAACGAGGAGGTGGGAAGGGGGGAGGTGGGGACCAGGGGGGTGGGGGGTGGGCAGGGTCAAACTGAGTGTAGCCAGTTGGGGAATCTGGAATGTTCTCTCTGCGTTTTCACTTTTCTCCTCTGGTTGCAAGTGGGCAATTTGTAATAGGAGCTGATCTCTGCGAATACCTGTATCTCCTCATCGCTCAGCCTCCGAACCTACGGTCTCCAGACGCTGGCCTCCCTCCAACGGAGAAAGGGGAGAGGAGCCACACCGGGGAGGGAGGGGGGTGGGGGCAGATCAGGACCCCCTTCCCCCCCACTCCAAGAGTTTTAGCAGCCTGGCTACCGTGTCCTTAGACAACCTGGCTGTGTTTCGTCACCAGCAAGTTTGCAAAGTTTACTTTGTACTTCCCTTCCGCGGCTCTGGAATTCTCCCCCGACGCTGTTCTTTTTTTTGGGGGGGGGATGACATGAGGGCTTGAACTTGGGGCCTCAGACTCCTGGTTAACTTCTCCCATTCAAAGGCGCTTGACCGCCTGAACTGTCGCACATGAGCCGCCGCTTCCAGCTTTTCTTGTTTTTCTTTCTTCGGCCGGTGAACTGGAGATGAAAAAGTCTCCGGGATTCTTTTTCGTTTTCCTGCCAAGGCTGCCTTCGAACTGTGATCTTCAGACCTCCACCTCTGGAGCAGCGGGGGTTCTACATGTGGGCCACTGCCGCCTGGCCCCCAGCACACACTGGAGGGGGCAGGGTCATGGCCTCTGGTTCTGGGCCAGCCTTGTTACCAACCCTCATGTAGAACGATCCTCGTTTCTCGGCTCTGGAGTCCCGCCGAAAGCTTGTACGCCACATGAATGTGAACTGTGTTTTGGAAAGCTCTGGAAGGCTTGCTTGGGATTGGGGTTGCAATAATTACTGGAGAAACAGACACTTAGGGAAAAAAGTTCTCTCTCGCTTTTCCTGGGAGAAAGCACATGGGTGTCGGTCCGGGGACAGAGAAAGAGGACATGGGCCGTCCCTCTGGCCCCGGGGGAGGATTTTCTCTTTGAAAGGCCCAGCCTCTAGCTTTGGCAACAACACTGATACAAAAGGAAGGTCTGAATGGTTCCACCGAGTTGCTCCAGACATAAAGTCTTCAAATAGTCCATTTTTAAGCTGGGCACCGCCAGCAGCTCACGCCTGTCATCCTGGTGACTCAGGAGGCTGAGATGTGAGGATCACAGTTCAAGGCCAGCCCCGGGTCAGATAAAGCGGACACATTCTTATTGCATAAAGCCAGAGGTGGCGCTGTGGCTCAATTAGAAGAGCCCAGGCCTGAGAATGAAGCCTCTGAGCTCAAGCCCCAGCCCCACCAAAACACGACAAAGTCCCTCTAGAGCTCTGGAGAAGTCCTTGTTTTCCTTGCAACAATGCCTACAGGTTGATCAAGTATAGAACACACGGTGCTTGACCAAGATACTCAGGTGATGCTCTCCCATCACCCGGCTTTCCCGGACTCAAGGAAGTAGCCTACATTCTTCTTTTTAGTGCCAGTCCTGGGACTTGAACTCAGGCCTGGGCACTGCACCTGAGCTTTTTTTTGCTCACGGCTGGTGCTCTACCACAGCTCCACTTCTGGCTTTTTAAAAAAAACTGGTAGTTAATGGGAGCCTCATGGACTTTCCTGCCCAGGCTAGCTTCGAAGGGCCATCCTCAGATCTCAGCCTCCAGACAGAGTAGTTGGGATGACAAGCGTGAGCCACGGCGCCCGGCTTCTCAGGCCCCACGGGTTTGACCGCGCTTGAACATGGGCCTCCGCTGTGTACACAGGTGCCAAGGCCCGCCTCTCCTTTCCCTGCCTTGCGCTAGGCCCGAGGGGAGACAGGGAGGGGGCCGGGGAGGTACTCACAGTTGCCATGCGCAATACTGATTGGCTCAGAATCTTCTGGGAAGGCGGCCCCAGCGGACTGCAGCAGTGTGAGACATAGCAGCAAGGCTTCTGGCCTCATAGTAGTTCTGCGGGGAGACTTCCTGCTCGACTTCACCCTGCCAAAGAGCCAAGGGGGGGGAGGGTTCATTTCCTCCACCCGTCCCTCCCCCACGGTGGCCCCGCGGGTCGGTGTGTCCCCCCCACGGGATCCTGTGATCCACGCACCCCCCTGTCCGTGTCCGTGGGCCATGAAACCCCAGACCCATGCACCCCTCTTTCTTCTGTGTCAGAACCCTTTGCCAAAGGTCCAGGCCCAGGACGCGGAGCCAGGAGGGGCTGGGGTAGCTGTTAACATCACAACCATTTCACAACTAGGAAACTGGACATCCCGAAACACCCGGACCATGGAGAGGCAGGCTTGTCGCATTTCGTGGTGGGCTTGGGGAAATCCAAAACCAATACCACCACCCCCAAAACAAGTTTGCTTTGCCCAGCCCCGGGATCCTGCAGAAACTGGAAGCCGTCGCCAACAGTGAAAAATTTAGATTCCCGACAATAAGCTAGGCTCGCGGCTTTGTGAAATCAAAGTCAGAATAACTGTCCAACTGACGTGGCTTAAATGTAGTATTTCCCACACATCAAACCCCTCCCTCCCGACACGTGACACACACACACACACACACACACACACACACACACACACACACACACAGTCATCTACCCCGTTAAACCACTCAGCTGAGATTTTTTTTGTCCTTAGTTTGCATGATTCTCCAATGACCTTAGACAGAACTGGAATCACTAAGTCAGCAGTCTGGGAAGGTGGCTTAGTGGTAGAGTGCTTGCCTAGCATGCATGAGGCCCTGGGTTCAATTCCTTGGTACCACACAAAACAAAAAATATTTAATAGTAATAAGTAACTCTTCAGGGCATGGTGGATTACGCCTGTGATCCCAGCTACTTAAGATCTGGAGGACTAAAGTTCTTGTTGGTAGGAGCAACATGCCAAACCTTCTTTGAAAAAGCACAAAAGGGCTGCGGGTACAGCTCAAATGGAAGAGCCATTGTGAGGCTCTGAGTTCAAGCTGCCCAAATAATGAATAGTAAATAAATAATGAATACGAGAAGTCATAAATAAGGCAGACACAACACAAAAAGAAGTAAGTAGCTCCTTTGTGTAAATACCTCAAGCCTCACCCTGCAGCAGTTATTTTTCTTAAGATATAGTATCTCTTTATATTTTAGTTCCCACCAATGCTTTACAAAGGTAACAGCAACGAACAAAAAAAAAAGTCTACACTGTATTTTTCACAGGTGTTCTTTGTGTGTACATTAATTCTGCTACAAGTTAGAAATGAGAATCCCATGTGGACCTGCTTTGAAACAGTGAACAATGCTGCTGCACTGGGCTAACTATCACCCAGTTCTCAGGCATATTTGAAATAAGTGTTGATTAATCAGGGAAATTAATGTAAAATGAGGAATCTTTTCATCTTGCCAGAATAGTAGGCTTTGAAGCAGGCTGCCAAAGATTATCTATTTTTTTCTAACCTAGCTATTTTACAGTAGTCCATCAATCATTAAGATTTGTGTGAAGAAATGTCAAACTTCATAACCTAGATGCCTTTGAAAGTTAATTTGGCAAACAAAACCACTCACTTAATGCTTTCTGGAACTCCCGTCAATATTAGCTACCTGTGTGTCTCTTTTCTTCCTGCCAAGAGTGGAGGGAAAAAAAAAATCATCAACAAGTCCCGAGTACTGAGCTCTTAACTTATAATTTCACAGACGCAGCTGGGTCTTAATGTCTTCAACTGAAAAGTACACGTTAATTAATTGGCTTTATCTGGGCCAAAAATTAAAAAAAAAAATCAAAAGCGGGAGAGGCGTTGAGAGACAAGCTCAAACAATTTCCTATCTCTGCATCTCTGCTGCGCAGAGGGAAATTAAAACTTGAGGTGACTCGGTGTGTGCGGGAGCAATTCACTCCCAAGACATCACATGTATTTATAGGTAGGTTCGAACCTAGTCAATTCTTTCCTTCCTTCCTCCCTCCCTCTCTCCTTCCAGTAGTCTTACAAGATCTGGAGAGCCTGAATACCAAGCTCAGGGCTGCAAATATTCAGGAGGAAGAAATCAATAAGCAACAAACCCAACAGACACAAGCCGGCAGCCAGTGCTGTGTGTGCTGACGAAGACACACAGCACGCTGAACAAAGGCTCAAGCGCAGAATGACAACCTAGCGCCTGAGCCTCTTACCCGGATGAAACTGCCACGCACCACGGAAGCGTTAAGAACACCTTTAGGGGCCGATTCTTTTGCCTTTAGAAACCCTGGGATATACACGTAGGCTTCTAAAGGTTAATTTGTCCGGACATGGTGAACGAGCGTCTGTTCTTCACGACCATACAAGTGCCCTGCAAGCAGGCAGGGTAGGGGCCTGCGTGTTTTCCCCACCCGGCTTCCCATTTGAATCCTTTCCATCCCAAGGTGGCTGGGGTCCGAACACCGCCTCCTCCACGGGTCCATCCGGCAGGGAGAACCACGCAGCCAGAGGCACATCTACCCTGCAATCCCATGGCTTCTGGTGATCACCCCTCCCTGGAAGGTGTCCCTCCCCATCTCCAGGTTTACCGGAGGGCTGCGTTGTGTGCGTTTCTCCTACCACATCATCAGATAGTGAACAAGTATGTGTGTGGGCGCAGCCCCCTGGCACAGACGAGTTCTTCTTGGCTGGTCCACACGAATGGACCACTGTGCCGTTTCCTTCCATCCTCCCTTCCTCCCCCCACTGCGCGGCATCTTTATGAACCTGTAGACGACGTATTTTCTTGCGGTAGTGACTATCCAAATCTCCCGCCGCCGCCCGAGGTCACTTCCACACAGACGGAGGGAACGGAGTTTAAAAATACCGAGTGTAAGGAGTTGGTTCACGTCATTCTGAAAACTTTCCGAGGTGCTAGCCATGTAGAGCCTATTTATAGGTGTCGGCAAACATCTGTCCAGTAACTTGTTTGTGACTCGCTTAGACAGACTAAATGGGAGAGGCTGCGTCAGCTATGTAGGAAATTAGGTGAAGGAGCCAGGCGCTGGTGGCTTGGGCCTGTCATCCTAGCCACTCAGGAGGCTGAGATCTGTGGATCAAGGTTCAAAGCCAGCCTGGGAAGGAGAGTCGGTGAGGTTCTTATCTCCAGTGAACCCACAAAAAGCCAGAACTGGAGTTGTGGCTCAAGCGGTAGAGCACTAGCCTTGAGCAGCAAGCTCAAGGTCAGTGCCTGGGCCCTGAGTTCAAGTCCTAGGCTTGCCCTAACACCACCTGCATGTCCAGTATGGTAGCCACCATATAAGTGCTCTGAGGTCCATTCAACGCGTGCCTGGTCTGGCACACTCTGCGACACCTCCTAGAATCCTGACATCCAACGGATGCTTCAACTGGAATCCATTTGATTTGATTTCAATGGATCTGTTCGAGTGGACAACGGGAGAATGGCAAATCTACAAATCCCCAGTGTGGGCTTGAAGCAAAAAGGGAACGATGTTCAGGGCACCATCCTCTAGGGGGGGGAGTCGTGTATTACCATGGCTCAGAAATTCTCTTGCAACTTTGGCACATTTCCTACTGACATCATGAGTGTCTAAGATAACCGAGGATCACACCAGCCTTGGCTTCCAGTCTTTCATTGTAACTCAGAAGAACATGCAATGCAAGGGTTCTAGAAAACTCCTGAGCTCTGAGGTTCAGTGAGTGAGCGTGTATGTGTGTGTGTGTGTGAGAGAGAGAGAGAGACAAAGAGAGGAGAGAGGGAGAGAGGGAAAAAGAGAGGGAGTGGGAGAAAGAGGAGAGAAAGAGACAGATTATAAAGGTCCACTCAGAGCACAGGGGTGCCCCTGGCTACTCCAATGTCACCAAAGCCAGTAAGTCCAGGAGGAGGGCTGGGCTGGGCTGGGGCAGGAAGAGTAAGGAGCCCCCAAATTCAGGCAAGGTGGGGTCCTGGAGTCTTCCTTTTTTCCGGTCCTCAAAGGTGGCAGATAAACTCTCGATCATAGCCAAGGTGACATTAACCAGGCCTAAAGCTCTGTGCATCTGAGCGCCTGTCCTTTGCACACAGCACTGGGGAGTGGGCTTCCTTTCCTCTGCACGCTTTCCTGTCCCTCAAGGGCATGTGGTTAGGGAAGTGGAGGGCAGTCAGGTATCCATCAGCAGGGTGGTGTGCAGGGCAAACACCGGGAATGAATGGGCATGGACTCAACAATAGGTCCAGAGGATGTTCTAACCCACAAGTGAGCGCTGGAGCAGGTGCAGAGCCATGCTGGGTGTTAACAGAGTCCATTTTGGTGACCCCAGGTCCCTGGCCTCGTCATCTTCTCCTGCCAGCACGACTGTCTTTAGTTTGGAAAGGAGTGCACGAAAACCAGCCCTTTCTAACACCACTGGACACAGGGGCCTGGGAAGCCTCTGTCCCCCTGGAGCTACACCGGTCTCAAGATGCTCCAGCTCTCCAGCCTCAGTTTCCTTATTTCTTGTGTCTCAGAAACCAAAGGCGCTTAGTTCTCAGAAGGGTGTGTTGATGTTACAGTTGACACGCTGTGAGCTGGCTTTTCTTGGGCTTTCCTAAGACCGCTCTAGGCAGGCCCTAGATAAGCTCCCGGTGACACACCGTTCTAGGGCAGAAGTCCCCTTCCCTCAGCCCCTGCAGGTCACCAAGTCTTCTGAAGTTTGGCTCCAGAGCAGGGAGGAGAATCTAACTCAGAAACCACATTCAGCCTTGTTGGGCTATTTTTAAAATGTACACGTCAGCCCTCACACAAGTACAAAGGAAAATAAACGTGGTGGGGCACAGGGAAGGGATGGGCGGGGAGTGGCAGCCGGTGGACTGCCCGGCCCACGCACAGGACCTTTGCACAGTATCCTCCTGTGTAAACCGCTCACCACAACCCCAGCAAGGCCTTAGCATCCCCACTGCTGTCCACCTGGGGGAAACCGAGGACCAAGGTGAAGTGACCCGCCCAGGCGTTCCGAACCTAGATCTGTGTGTGCTGTCCAGGTCGATGTCCTGGTGAAGGATGGAGCAGAAAGACTGGGGGGCAGGTCCCCGAGGAAACCACGTCTAAGGT